AAAATTCGCTGGTTGCTACGGCGGTGGATGACCGGCTAGTGGCGGATGGTACAGTGACAAACAGACAAGGTGGGTTTTATTTAGATTATGTATTTTGATTTTTAATTTTATTAAATATCTTCTTTTTTATTTTGATTTTTTAAATTTTGCATACATTGTCCAAATGACGCCACGTAGCAGGTTATCAACATTTATAGGTAAATAATAGGTTTTTGGGTCTGAATGTACAAAAAAGACGAGCTAATGCGTTTAACTGTTGGTTTAAAATAGGAAAAATGGTACTTTTTCCTTCTCAATTATAGGCTTATATCTCTTTTCACCTCTTAGTTATTCATGTATTTATATTTACCTCCTCAATTATTCTTAAGTGACTTTTTTCCCCTTAAAATAATTATTTTATTTATTTTTTTCTCTAACAAATAATTGTTTATATGTAGGGATGATCACGGATAGATTTGAACCAAACCAAACACCATAGCCACCGAACTGGCAAATTATGTTGTGCATCTGTATACACCATGCATGGTGCATACGGATGCAAAAACGACGTCGTTTTATTAAAAACGCGCGTCTCACTTAAAAATGCATAATTTGAACTATATATTCAGAATCAATGAACTAAAATTCCAGAATCGATGAACTAAAATTCCAGAATCGATGAACTAAAATTCCAGAATCTATGAACTAAAATTCCAGAATCTATGAACTAAAATTCCAGAATCTATGAACTAAAATTCCATAATGAATGAACTAAAAATTCATAATGAATGAACTAAATATTCATAATGAATGAACTAAATATCCAGCATGAATGAAAAAAATCAGTTACGATTCACGTCTAAATATCCATAATCAATGAACTAAAATTTCAAAATCTATGAATTGAAATTCCAGAATCTATGAACTAAAATTTCAGAATGAATGAACAACATAATGCTGTTGAGGTGAATCGAAACTGATTTTTTTTTTTTAATTGGATGCGCGTTTGTAATAAAACGATGTCGTTTTTGCATCCGTATGCACCATGCATGGTGCATACGAATGCACAGCATAACGATCCCACTGAACTAATGGAATAAGGGGCGGTTCTTGTTACGATTCATAACTATAAAAAAATAAAATAATTGTTAAATTTAGAGTATTTTAAAATAAAAAAAAATAAAATTTCCAAAAATAAATAATAAAGAAATTTTGAATCAACAGTTTAAACCGAAACAGGAATCAAAATAAATGTGAACTTGAATTGAACAGGTCTATCATTTACAAACGGTGTTTATAAATCTGTTCGATTCTAGTTTGCATTTACTCTGATTCTAGTTTCGGTTTGAACCGTCGATTCAATATTTATTTATTTTTGTAAATTCTATTTTCAATTCTATTTTTAAAATAGCCTAAATTTAACAATTATTTAATTTAATTTAATATTTTCTGGTTCTGAATCGAAACAAGAACTGTCTTTACTATTTCAATTCGGTTGCTATTCTTCGATTCGGTTCAAATCGAACTGTAGTCATCCCTACATATAAGGCATGATTTGTTGGATAAAAAATAATAATATTCTAAGGGTAGAAATGTCCTTTTAACATCAAAGGGGGGAAAACTACCACGTTTAAAATAATTGAAGGGGAAAATGTGGATACATTAATTACTCGGGAAGAAATACTGCTATAAGTTTATTATTTAGGAGAAAAAATTGTCATTTTTCCCTTTAAAATATTTTGAGGCCTAATTGATTTCTTATATAAAGTCCAGAGACCAATTTGAAAGATTAACCAATATATTTAAAGAAAAAAAAAAGAAAAAATTTAAAAACATAACTTTATTTTTAAAATCTATACTATATGTAAAAATAAAATCATGAAATTTTAACTTCCCGCCCAATTCCTAAAAAATCTCCCTTCTCAATAAAATATATTGATTTCTACTTTCCCATTCCTACAATTATTCTGGGTAAAAATTTATTCTAAAATTATAAAATAGTGTAATACAATTCCCTTTGCACATCTAATCTATACTATATAAAAAACAAAATTCTGAAATTTTAACTTTCTGCCCAATTCCTAAAAAATCTCCCTTCCCAATAAAATATATTGATTTCTACTTTCCCATTAGTACAATAATTCTGGGTAAAAATTCTATTCTAAAATTATAAATAGGTGTAATACAATTCCCTTTGCACGTCTAATCTATACAATATATATAAACAAAATCCTGAAATTTTAACTTCCGCCCAATTCCTAAAAAATCTCCCTTCCCAATAAAATATATTGATTTCTACTTTCCCATTCGTACAATAATTCTGGGTAAAAATTATATTCTAAAATTATAAAATAGTGTAATACAATTCTCTTTGCACATCTAATCTATACTATATATAAAAACAAAATCATTAAATTTTAACTTCCCGCCCAATTCCTAAAAAATCTCTCTTCCCAAAAAAATATATTGATTTCTACTTTCCGATTCGTACAATAATTTTGGGTAAAAATTCTATTCTAAAATTATAAAATAGTGTAATACAATTCTCTTTGCACATCTAATCTATACTATATATAAAAACAAAATCCTGAAATTTTAACTTCCCGCCCAATTCCTAATAAATCTCTCTTCCCAATAAAATATATTGATTTCTACTTTCACTTTCGTACAATAATTCTGGATAAAAATTCGATTCTAAAATTATAAAATAGTGTAATACAATTCCCTTTGCACATCTAATCTATACAATATATAAAAACAAAATCATGAAATTTTAACTTCCCGCCCAATTCCTAAAAAATTTCCCTTCCCAATAAAATATATTGATTTCTACTTTCCCATTCGTACAATAATTCTGGGTAAAAATTCTATTCTAAAATTATAAAATAGTGTAATACAATTATCTTTGCACATCTAATCTATACTATATATAAAAACAAAATCCTGAAATTTTAACTTTCCGCCTAATTCCTAATAAATCTCTCTTCCCAATAAAATATATTGATTTCTACTTTCACTTTCGTACAATAATCCTGGGTAAAAATTCTATTATAAAATTATAAAATATTGTAATACAATTCTCTTTGCACATCTAATCTATACTATATATAAAAACAAAATTCTGAAATTTTAATTTTCCGCCAAATTCCTAAAAAATCTCTCTTCCCAATAAAATATATTGATTTCTACTTTTCGATTCGTACAATAATTTTGGGTAAAAATTATATTCTAAAATTATAAAATAGTGTAATACAATTCTCTTTGCACATCTAATCTATACAATATATAAAAACAAAACCCTGAAATTTTAACTTCCCGCCCAATCTATACTATACATAAAAACAAAATCCTGAAATTTTAACTTCCCGCCCATTTCCTAAAAAATCTCTCTTCCCAATAAAATATATTGATTTCTACTTTCCCATTCGTACAATAATTCGGGGTAAAAATTCTATTCTAAAATTATAAAATAGTGTAATACAATTACCTTTGCACATCTAATCTATACTATATATAAAAATAAAATCCTGAAATATTAACTTCCCGCCCAATTCCTAAAAAATCTCCCTTCCCAATAAAATATATTGATTTCTACTTTCCCATTCGTACAATAATTCTAGGTAAAAATTCTATTCTAAAATTATAAACTAGTGTAATACAATTCCATTTGCACATCTAATCTATCTACTATACTAATAAGAGCCCAAGAGAGTTAGGACTATAATGGGTAGAAAAAATGGCGGTCAAATTTTTTAATCAAATGAATGGCTCAGATTGATCAAATTTTAATTTTTTCTTAAGAATTACTAATTTATCAGTAATGAATATGATTATCCGTTAACTTTTCCGTTAAATATTATCTTTTCCGTTAATTTCTGTTAGTTCACCGTTAACTTATTCATTGATTTCAATAAGAAAGGTCTTAAGTTCGAAGTTCGAACCCCATCCCAATCAAAGTTGGCATATTTAGTTCTCTATTTTACTTTTATTAAATTAAATAATAATTTAGTAGTTACAACAAAAATAATACATATTCATTTCGATATTTAATTTAGAATTATGTGTCTACAATGTTTTTATTCAAAAAAATTATTCATTATCAATAAATTAAATAAGAGAAATAATTTCATTAGTTATATTGTCTTTATTTTTCTCCAATATAAAAATTCTTTACATTCAAATTCATCAATTGATTATATTCGCTACATTGTCCATACAATGTCTTTATTAAAAAAAAATCATTATGAATAAATTAATTAAGAGAAATAATTTTATTATATTATATTGTCTTTATTTTTCTCCATGTAAAAATTCTTTACATTCAAATTCATCAATTGATTATATTCACTACATTGTCTATTATCTTTTTTTTGTGCACTATTTTTTTTAATTAAATATCAAAGTTATAATACAAAATAATGTTATATATTTATTTACCAAGTATTTTATTAATACCATGAAAAAATTAAGAAAAATATAATTAATAAAGTCAACCATATTAACTACTTGAGGAATTTGTTGACAAAGACAGTATTCAAATCACACAACAAATTTAAGTGAGAACTATCTCGTAATGTCCTTGTTTGACAATCAGTAGTTAGCGTTTAACGGTTAGCGTTAGCGGATTATATTAGCTGATTTGACCATTGAATTATATCAACGGTGGGTAAAAAGATATTTGAAAAAATTAACTTTTTAGATTAACATGTAAAATGACCTAAGGGTATACATATATTTAATAATAATAATAATAATAATAATAATAATAATAATAATAATAATAATAATAATAATAATAATAATAATAATAATAATAATAATAATAATTGTTTTAAAAAATAAAAAAATAATAAAAAAATACTTAAGCCAATCATATTAACTACTTGGGGATTTATTTACAAAACGAGTATTCAAATTACACAACAAATTGAAGTGGAAAACTACCTCGCAATGTCCTTGTTTGACAATCATCAATTAGCTCTTCTTTTTTTTTTTTTTTTGAAAAATATATGGGTGCTTCATTAGAAAAACGCTGATATAATGTCTGGTGGGTGGCTATCCCAATACATAGCAATATGTTGCTGATAAGCCGTAGTAGCTAATGCATGAGCTAAATAATTATCTGATCTAGGAATAAATTTAAATGAACAATACTGAAATAAAGTGGCAATTTGCCTGCAGTCGTCAATAGCATAGCCCACATAAGAGCGAATCGCAACAGTCGGTGTAGCAAGATAGCGTTGCAATGTCAAGCAATCCGTGTATAACTCAATATTCTGCTCCCCTCTCCCCTTCAACCACGATAAAGCCTCTTTACATGCCAAGGCTTCGGCCATAAGTGGTGACAAACAAGTTGGCAACGGTGCATTGAAGGCCGATATATATTCTCCGTTTGCATTGAACAAAACCGCCCCTACGGTGGCCCTTCCCGTGTCGTGTAAATACCCTGCGTCGACCCGACACCTTCTCAAACTCGGCACAACATTCTCAGCCATCATGGCAGTTTCCCCGTCGGCAGCGCCATGGACAGTCTCGGCAACACCTTGGACCGTCTCGGCAGCGCTGGTTCCGGTATTGGCGGGCAGTGATGCTGGCTGGTGGATTGGGCGTGCCATAAGCCATGCATCCTTGGTGGTCACGGCGGCTCGGAGTATGGAGTGTGGCCGTGGCAGGCATGCCTCCCATACCGCTCGATTTCGTGCTCTCCAAATGTTGTATAGAATTGATGCTGCATATAACATTCCATCAGAATCTTAAACATTTTGAAGTTCCTCAAATCAAACATGAAAAATATTTGTGACAATGTTGGGGATTGGAAGGTTAGATTGTTCCCAAATGTTTCTTGCATAGTCACACAAGACTAAAGCATGCATTGTATCCTCTTGTGATATCCCACAATGGCACAATAAGGGCTCACATCAACCCTCTTTATAAGCAAGTTTGTAGTAGTGGTAATATATCACAAATGGCTCTCCAAAGAAACATTCTCCATTTTGGGGGTATTTTGAGTCGCCATAAAGACATCCAATTCATAAACTCCCCCCTTTGACTCTCGTAGTCTCCCACTATCCGCCTGTATCCACTCTTCACAGAATATAGTCCTTTTGGGTCCCCATGCCAATACCATGTATCATTATAGTCCAGGGAGACAGGTATTCTCATAATTCTTCCTACATCATCAGGTTGGAATAAATCTGTTAGAATGTCATTATCCCATGTTCCTGTTTGTTGGTCAATTAACCCCATTACTCTGGTCCCTTGTAATTGTACTGGCATTTCCGTTCGTATCATAGGGTCGTGTTCATCTTGTAACCAAGGGTGGGTCCATATAGACGTTGTTTCCCCATTTCCTATTCTTCGTCTGACCCCACTACAAATTAAACTCTTTCCTGCCATAATACTCCGCCAACAGAAACTGGGGTTATTTCCTACCTGTGCATCAAAAAACATTCCATTAGGAAAATACCGGGCTTTATAGACACGAGCCACTAAAGAGTCAGGTTTAGTGAGCATTCGCCACGCCTGCTTCCCCAACATTGCCAGATTAAATGCACGTAAATCATTAAATCCCAGTCCCCCATATTTCTTTGGGACACAAAGTTTGTCCCAAGCCTTCCAGTGTATTCGTCTATCACCTTCCGAGTCCCACCAATATCTATTCACGGTCCTCTCTACTGCCGTACATACTGATAGTGGTAGTAGAAAAACACTCATTGAGAAGGTAGGCATGGATTGTGCTACACTTTTCAATAGTATCTCTTTCCCTGCTTGGGATAGTAATCTTTTATTCCAAGACCCAATCCTTTGGCGTATTTTATCTTCAATATAAGCAAAGGCTGCCTTCTTATTCCTTCCAACAAAAGAGGGTAGACCCAGATATTTGCCAAAATTCGGGGCTTGAGTTACCCCCAAAACCTGAGCCACATTATCCCTATCAATACTTCCTGTATTTTTGCTATAGCAAATATTTGACTTGTGGTAGTTGACCAGCTGTCCGGATAGGTTCTCATATGCTGTCAGACATCTCTTAATCTCATTCGCCTCCTCCTCCTTAGCTTTGAAAAACAATAGGCTGTCATCCGCAAAGAATAAATGAGAGACTTGGGGGCACCTCTTGCCACTCTACATCCATGAATCAGTCCTTCCCTGTTAGCCTGTTGCAACATAAGTGAAAGTCCCTCTGCACAGATAATAAATAAATATGGGGATAACGGATCTCCCTATCTTAGTCCACAAGTAGGTATAATTGGATCACTCTTAGAGCCATTCACCAGGATACTGTAGGAAACCGTAGTTACACATTTCATAACCAAATCCACCCAGTTCCTATGAAAACCCAGCGCCATCATCATGTTACGAAGATAGGGCCACTCCATCCGGTCATAAGCTTTTGCCATGTCTAGCTTAAGTGCACCCCTTCCCCCTAATCCACACTGTTTTCTGTTCAAAAAATGGCCTACCTCCGCTGCTAGCAAAATATTATCCGTTATCAACCTATCCGGAATGAAAGCACTATGTGACTCAGATATTATATCATCCATCAATGGTTTCATTCTATTAGACATCATCTTCGCAATTATTCTGTAGACCACATTACTAAGAGCAATAGGACGCAGGTCAGTTACCAACTCCGGGTTATTCTTCTTTGGAATTAGCACAATATCCGTATTATTTAAGTCAGGCGGAAGTTCACACGTTTCAATACAGTTAATCACAAAGCTCGCCACATCCCCTCCCACTACATCCCAAAAATGCTAATAAAAACCCGGATTCATTCCATCCGGGCCTGGAGCCTTATCAGGATACATCGCAAATAATGCATCTTTCACCTCCCCCACCGTAAAGGGCTGTAATAAAGAGTCATTCTGTGCATGTGATACCCGTTTCTCTACCTTCCCAAAAAACTCCTCCCCTACCCCCGGAGTCCCAGAGGTGAAAATATTTTTGAAATAATCCAAAATATTTTTCCTCATAAGTTCCCCTTCCATCCAATCCCCATTGTCATTCATTATCTTAGATATAGTATTCTTTTTCTTACGATGCAAGGCATACCTATGAAAAAATTTCGTATTGGTGTCAGCCTCCTTGAGCCAGTGCTGCTTGGCTCTCTGCCTCCAGTATGCATCCTCCTGGGCTTCCGTTCTGCTTAAAAGCCTCTCAATGTGCTGGAATTCAGCAAGTGAGGCCGCGTCAGTACGACCCCTCAAACGTTCCTGATCCCTTTTCAGCATTAAAATCTGTTTCCCATACTTATGGAACCGATCCCACCCCAGCGTGTTAACCGGTTTCCACAGTACTGAATACAATCTTGCAACCCCTGCCCTCTCCCCTCGTTCCATGCTTGCTCCACTACTCCCCTACATCCCTCATCATACAACCAGGCCATCTCAAAACGAAACCCCCTCCTTCTCGCTCCATTCACCTCTATTCCCTCATGAATTCCACAGAAAAATAGCAGAATGATCCGACTTCTTGGTTCTCAGATTCGTAACTTTAGCATGGGGAACCACGTTACGCCACTCATCTGTCACCAGAACCTTGTCTAGTCTCTCCTCAATCCAATTCACAGTTCCTTTCCCCTTCTCCCAGGTATATGGATACCCCACCATCGGCAGTTGCGCTAGGCCACAATCCTCTAGTGTTTCTCCAAAACCCCGTAAAAGGCTATTTGGATGCGGATTTCCTCCCCTATTCTCGTACTGATATAGTAAGTCATTAAAATCCCCCATCACGATCCATGGGAGATCCGATTTCGCCGCAAGAGTCCTCAACAAGTCCCAAGACTCGGCACGTCGACTACGTTCTGAGAAGCCATAATAACATGTCATCCTCCAGCGTGGATAACCTGCCATAGTTACCTCAATATCAACATAGTTCTTCGAGTAACTCAGTAATCTTGCCGTATTATTCTTTTTCCACAATAATGCTAATCCTCCACTTAAGCCATCATTATCAACATAGAACAAACCCTCAAACCCCATCGTAACATGAAGTCGCTCTGCATGATCTCTTGCTACTTTAGTCTCCATCAGAAATACAAAGTCGGGTTGCTTACGGGACACCATGTCCACTACCTCACGAACTGTCCGTGGATTACCCAAGCCACGGCAGTTCCAACTCAGCGTACTCATTGGCTCGGGCGGGTCTGTGATCCAGAACTCGCCGTAAACAAGTTTTTTGAGCTGTCTAGCATCGTCACATCAGTACTACTTCCTTCCTGCTCCCGGCGGCGCTTAGCCACCACGACCACCACCTCCTCACTCTCCCTCCTCTCCGCCTCTTCTCTCGGGTCCACCTCCACCGTCGGACGCTGTGCCGGATATCCCAACGCCGGTAATGCCTTCGGCTTGCCGCCGAACGGGATCAACCACGGATCACCTACCTCACGTGGCCCCTTATTCCCCCCTACCCTCAAATCCGCAGAGTACGGATATTGTTCCACCGGTATCTTTGCTTCCCGTGCTTTTAAACAGAACTTATACGAATGCCCTAGCATACCACAACAAAAACAAAATGTGTGCAGCCTCTCATACTTAAAATTGACCCTGCATGTTGTCTTGTCACGTTTCAGCAATTTCATCCTTCTTTTAATCGGTTTATCCACAGGTATTGAAACCCTAATTCGAAAATATGTTAACCATGGAGCCCCAATAAATCTATCATCCAACTTCACAAAAGTTCCAATGAAATTTCCAATCTGTTCAAGAATCGGTACACCCGTATATCCCAGTGGTAGATCATGCACCTGTACCCAGAGATCAATCGTGTCTAGCGCCACATCAATCGGTAACACCCCATCCGGAACTCTTTTGCAAACAAGTGAATGATTATTGAACGACCACGGACCCTCATCCAACACATACTCCACATCCGTCTCATGGTAAAAAATAAAGAGAAACAAGTTCGGTTGAATTTCCGAGACCTGCACCCCCTTACCGGTTGCCAAACGGATGCCATTACCTGTCGCATGTATTCCACTTTTATGATCTTCGTTGTTAGGAACCTGCCTACCATTCCCCAAGACTGCTCCGTCTCTGATGGCCCTCCACCGTCCGCTGCACCAGCCGGAGCGAACACAGCATCCTCCTCGTCATCGAGTACGATGTCCGCCCAACTTCGCGTTATGGCCGCCACATCCCCTTCGCCCGTCGCTGCCATCGGTCGTAATCAAGAAACAAGGTCGCAAAATTGGTAATCACCGATCGGAATAGCCAAGAAAGCCGTACGAAAAAGCCTAGAAACCCTAGTGGAGGAGAAGAGCTCTAGAAACCCTAGAGAGAAAATATAAATATAAATGTTTGGTTAATTAGCTTTTTGCAACTCCAAAAGGCTAAAATTCAAAAAGCTACTCCAAACAACTTTTTCAATTAGTTTTTTTCATCAATTAGCTCTTCAATATTAGTATATATTTAAAATTTTATGACCTAATTTTTATTTTCTCTCCCTTATGTCCCGTATTTGGTTTCAACCATACATATACAATTATTTTATTGACAATTATAATCAATATCCCAAATATATATTATCTTGCATTTGTAAACTTAGAATTACCTATTTAAATACGCAAATTCAACATTCAATTATTTATGCATGAACAATTCTAATATAAATCTGC